CCTAAAAGCCACCTGGCTAGTCATCAGAGAATGTAAATCAAAACCACAGTGAGAAACCACAATGCATCCACTAGGGTGGCAATAATAATAATAATAATAATAATAATAATAATAATAATAATAATAATAAAAGGAGACAGATAATAATAAGTGTTGGATAACAACTAGCATGTGAATAACTTGAAACCCCTACAACTGCCAAGGGGAAGTAATATGATGCCAGTACCTTGGAAAACAGTCTGGCAGTTCTTTGAATGGTTACACATAGAGTTACCATATGATTCAGCAATTCCACTCCTAAGTATAGATCAGACAGAAATGAAAACATTCGTTCACACAAAACCTTGTACACAAATGCATATGTAACAGCATTGCTCATAATTGCCAAAAAGTGGAAACAACCCAGTGCCCAACAACTGATGAACGGACAAATAAAACATGATGTGGCCATACCACAGGATATATTATTCAGCAGTAAAAAGGAATGAAGAGTACTGATACATACAACAACATGGAAGAATCTTGAAAACATAATACTAAGTGAAAAGAACTCAGTTGCAAAGACCATGTATTTTTATGATTTCATTTTATGAAATGTCCAAACTTGTCAAATGATAGAGACAGAAAGTAGACTGGTGGCTGCCAAGGGTTGAGGGGGCAAAGTATCAGAATATAGTTTCTCCAAAGAAAATGCAGAAATTGACAAGTAGGAGTATTTCGTGCTGCCAGCTGAGGGTTATGGAGCCTTTTTTAGGATTATAAAAACATTCTAGTATTGATTGTGGTGATGAATGCACAACTCTGTGATATATTAAAGGCCACGATCAGTAGTATACTTTAAATGACTGAATTGTGAGGTATGTGAATTATATCTTAACGAAACTTAAAAATAAGAAACTGTGAGGTTAATTAAATACTCATAACTTGCTGGAAGATTTCATTGAAAGAGCACGGGACTTAAACCCAGCACCTGAGCAGCCTTGTCCTGATGTTGACTCTGATCTAAATGTCCAAGTAACCAGGTCAATTCCCTTTAGTCTCCGACCTCTGTGTCCTCACCTGAAAAGGAAGAGGGTGGACAGATGCTCTCCAAGGACCTTCCCACCCCTAATTCTTTCAAAAAACAGTCACCTCCCAAACAATTGTATTGATAAGTGGTCTGACTGTTCTTTGAACTCTCTGTAGTTAATCATATTCTTTTCCTTGGTTTTTAAAATTCCACCACGGACTCCACTGCATAGTTAAAAATAATAAGTTAATTGTGTTTGATTTCAATTAAAACAAAGTATTTCAAGTTAGTGCAGTCTGTTTACATGCTGA